AAACCATTAAAACTGTCACCAGAGCACGCAAAGTAAGCTACTGAGGCAAAGAACGCTCGCAATCCACATTAATTACAAAAGGACATCCATCCAAAAATCCACACACACACACATATCTACACAAACTTGCTTTAATTTTAACCACTCTCTGAGGATTAACGCTCAATCTCCTTCCTCTTTGACATTTAGACAGGCAGTGATGAGCGGTAGTCGCTCTCACCAGAGCACAGGGTCTCTGCAGAGGAGACTCACTTCATCACCTAGCCAAGACCTGCTTCCTTTTATATCCTCTTGCACCAGCTAAAGAGATGCTCTAATTTGGGCTAAGTGCTCCAGACACAGATGACTACAGAGAGGCCTACCAGAAAAGCGTTGCAATAATAACAGGCTTTATTATGACCAAAACGGAAAGCCAATTCATGCACCACACTCATTACAACATGGCACAAATTACAATGAAATGACAGCCCTTGTTAAGCAGTCCAGCTGTCTGGCCTTAAAATAAAATGACCAATGAAAAAGTAAATTTTATATTGAAGTCATATTGAGGTTGGCTGGCATGATTTTTTCCCCTATTTCACGGTGCCCATCAGGCATCCATGCACCAAAACCCAAACCAAGGCTGGCACCAAATCGTATATGGCTACAGGCCTACACTTAGGACAGCATGCAAAGGCACATTCTTCCATGCAAATAAATAATTTATGGAATAGCTTTAAGTCTGGCTGTATGTTATTTTCTGTTTTTGGTGTTCTTAGCTGGCTGGCTTGTGTTTCACAGCCTCCTACTTTATCTATTTATTTAAAGTTTTGCTCCAGACATGCAGCCCACTGGTCAAGATCTAAGGCATTTACACTGTAGTAACAACTTCATAATCCTTCACATTAATATTACAATATTGAAACGTGAGCGAATTACATATTAATGCAGACATTAATGCACAAAATCCAGGTCACAAGCTGTCAGTATGAAATCAGCAAAGCTTCTTAAAAGTCCAAACTACCACTTTAATTGCTGTTTTTAAAGTGATATCTGGAGTTTAACCTGCTCATCAGAGAGACATGAGGAGTTGGTGGGTGGGGTGGGGGGTAAAAGAGGGATCAGCATTTTTTTTTTTTTGTTATTTTCCCATTTTGAGTTGTGGAGGGTGGCATAGTGACATGGTGGTTAGCACTGCCTTTCTGGATGGAAATTGCATGTTCTCCCTGTGCCTGGATGGTTTATAACTGAGTTTTCTGAAGTTCCCAAACACATGCATCCTAGGTTAACTGCTGATTCTAAATTGGCCATAGGCATGAACGGCTGTTTGTCTCTGTTGTGTCTGTTTAGGGTGTTACCTCTTTCTTGCCCTATGACAGGGATAGGCTCATGACCTTGGACTGGATAAGAAGAAGAAAAATGGATGGATGTCTGATGGAGGTCAACTATAGCTTACTATTATGTTAACTTTAGCTGAGGTGTGATACTATGGCAACTTTTTATTTCTCCCTTCTCCACTGATGATGCTGAATATCCAGATTTTACCTGTACAAGTTTAATATATTTTAAATTACTATTAGTACAAGTCACAGACAGTATTTGTTTTGCTCACAAAGGTCTGCCAGGTTCATTTTACACTCGGTATGATCAATTCCACACTAAGAGCTACTGTATGACTAACATGAGAAAAAAAAGAAAAAAAAATGAAATGAAACATACTGATATGAATGTGAATTTGCAGGATTTTTTTTGGTTTGTTTGTTTTTTTTAAAAAAAAGGGCAGCCTCTGCCTGCACTCTTACAAGAAACTGTAGGATGTCAGTGAGTGAATTATTTACTTGGCCTGTTTCTGTTCCGTCAAAACAAACAGACAGTAGAAGCACAGAGATTATAGGTTCAAAACCAGTGCAGAAAAAGGAAAGCTAAAAACAAAACAAAACACAATGCAGAACCACAAATTAGCAGGATTTATCTTCCAAGAGGACGCAATATAAAAGTTCATAAAACATTTTTAGAAAAACAACAGTGCACTACAGCATGGGCTATGTTGTCCATTTGTGGTACAAGCATTAGAGTACAGGTGTTTTAGGAATACTGAATAATACCGCTCAGAGTATATTTGTAAACACTAAGCTAACAGGGTTATTGTCTCGAAAGATAGTATAGTGTGTTCAGGTAAGAATATCACCTTGGGGATCATGACACACACGTCAAATTTAAAGAAAAACAACAAATGTAAATAAAACAGGTACAGTACACAGATCAAGTTTTCGTGATCTTTAAAATATTACAGTAGCCTAATACAGCAATGTTTCCTCCTGCTTCTAGAAACACTCTTGCTCCACTGGCTGAGGCCAAACCCTGTCACATGTTTTTTTCCCTTCTTCCTTAAGTTTGTCCTTTACCACTTTCCTTCAACAAAAACAAAATAAACAGCTGTCTGGTTAAAGACTGACCTTGCCGAATTCTGTGATTTAACGATAATGATGGTAAATGCAAGAAAAGAATCTATTTTAGCATCGCAGACAGACTTGCAATCAACTTACTCCAGGGTCTTTAATCAAGAAAACTAGAGACGTCTTAATTAAAGGAAAAAGTCTACAATTGAAACTGATTTGTGGTGCAATCTTGTGTTCTGTTCTAACTAACTATCAACACACACCCGCCTAATGTGCTCCCTACTTGGGACAAACACCACAGTCTCGTTAAGAGCAAAATTGCACCAAATTGAAGTGAAGTTTATATTGCACCTTGGCAGAATTTGTAAAATCTTAGTGATGTTTTGCAGTTCCAATAGCTTTAGGTCCTCTTTATGTTTCCATGGATAGTGTGAGAGTTTATTCTAGCTGCAGCAAAAGGATAATAAACTTACTCTATAACTAAACTAAACAGGGCCTCAAGTATCCTCTATCACTCTCATTAAAAACACACAAGGATAGCATGTCTTTGGGCAAGTATGGAAAAGAGAGATTATTATCGTAAGCAATTTCTGTTTCATAGTTCATATCATTATACTTTCATATTATTCTCTTCAATTTGTGAACTGTTTGTGCTGCTTCTCAATCACTCCTTGTAGTCAAGAAGTAATAAAAGGTATCTTATTTGCTAGGGGTATAATAATTCTGAAACTGAGGCTCATAATATACACTAAGGATTTGGAGAATTGTTTCACATTTACGATTTATCTCAGGCCTGCTCATACACAGAGCACACAGCATTGATGTTTGTGGTCTTTCTTCAACTAATTCAACTGATTAACAAATCTAACCCTTTGGTTATTTTGCAGACAACTCTAATTACAAGATGGTGGGTTTTTTTTGTTTTTTTTTAAATCATAGATTATTTTTTTGTAGCAAAAAAAAAATAAAAAATCCTCACCCTCATAATGATGGTTATTAGAAGTCTGTGTTTAAGTTTACACAGTGACAAAGCTGCAAGCTTGGGAAACATTCACTAGTAGAATTACGATTAGCAGATGAGATCGTGTGCAAGTAAGTTCCGAACCTGATCCATGTGACCTAAGTAAATAATTGAAGACATTCACTGTTTGGTCTTTATAGTCAGTGCTTGCCTGCCATCACAGCTGTGGGTTAAAGGCAGCTAATTAGCCTGAGGTTATAGGTTCAAGAACTAAACATATAAAGTTACAATTACAAACAGCACCATCTAGAACTCATCAAAGTTAGACCTGTATGGAGAAAGGCAGACATGGCCTTTGTAAAGCTAGCTGTACTGATCACTGAGATGTTAGACATATAGACACCACCAATGTCAGCATTCAATTAAAATTCCTTACTGCTTCACTTACAATATAAATAGCGCTATCTGAGGCTGAGTGTTTAGGTGGTATACAGTATTACTTTCAAGGGCAGACACATGTAATAGACAGTTCAGAGTTGTTTGAAGTTGCTGCAATACACTGGAGGAATGAGATAAAGCATGTGGGAGTGTGCAGAGATATGCAGGAGCCAGTTAGGCACAGCAACAGTGATGGCTATTTCAAACACAGAAAGAAGAAGCTCACTTGTAAAAGTGTATTTCTCTGCTTGTTTTTCATTTATCTATAGTATGTGTGTAATCTGTGCATATGTGTGAATGTATTCTCTGTTACATACATGGAGCAGCTGAGTCAAGAGAGTAACAGTGACTTACTATATGACCCAGGATAAGACAGTGTTACCCGGTCTGGTTACATAAGTCTGAGCTGCATCAAAGAAATAGATTGCTGCTGTGGGCTATGCAAAGTTTGTGGTCTGTGCTTTGCAGAGTGGGGGTTTGCCATCAGTGCACCCAACCCTTTGCAGCCAGACTATAGCATTAAAAATTCAGATTATGTTGTTGTTTGACATTTCAAAAGGCCGCAGAAAAATAATCAAAACCTATAGAGTACGTGTTAAACCAATTATTGGACCAAAGGGAAAACAAACAGAGAAAATATCAATGGTGCCCATGTTTTTAGGTTCCTTTAATTTTCTGTGTTCGTAAACAATTTAATTGAGAGTTAGGTCAGGGCAGAAAACACTGACCACAGATCTTCAGGGGCGCTTCCAGCTCCAGCAGGATGGGTTGGCTGAGGAAGATCTCCCTGGATTTGATGCAAAGACCCCGCACCTCCGCCTCTGTCATCTGGACTATCTTCCCCGGGCGACATCCCCGCACTAAGGAGGAGACAAACTACACAGTCAGTGCTATTGTCAAGTGAGTGAGTTATCAACAATCAGTGTGTAAAAAAACTCCCAAAAAACAAAACAACACCAGCAACACAAACTTCATCAAAATTAGGCCATGACAGAATAATGCTTCACCTAAGGGAAAAATACTTGTGGCAGTATCACAAAAGCCAATAAACTGAGGGCGTAATGATTCTGTAGCCTATAGCTGCTTATTCTCAGCCATACTTTAGAAACACGCTGCTTATTCTGTGAGAGCAGCTTGCATCTGAGCACTGGTGTGGGTTTATTGGCTGTGTAGCTGCAGTAGCTTAAGCCTACTTTCTGGCGTTCCGCCACAGCTCTGGGTGAAGATTTATCTTATAACGATAAAAAAGGGGAGTGAGAAATGCAAACGCTGGTTATAGTCAGCAGCTGAAACAGACAAAGATATGAAAAGTGAGATTATAACTTTAGAGCTACTTGCTTGCCATCTTATCTGGAGGCTGGAATAGATAAAAGTTAAGTTTTATATTGTTTGAAATAGTCTGTGCCTGATATATTTGACATTTTCAATTTCAGGTCTGAAAAAAAATGTAATATTTCTGAATATTTCTTAAAGATGGTCTATAAAGAGCACATTATCAGTCACACAGCATTATAGCTATGCAAAATCATACCAGTAATCAGAGTCATCCCTGGCTTAGAATCAGCCTTTGGGAGATGACTACGCACGACAGTAAGCGTGACTAGTCTATGTAAAGTAAAGGCAATTGGACTGTAATGTCCTATTTGACAGAAATCTATGCATTTTCTTATTATTACTGACAATCTGATAAAAATGAAACTTAATTTAACAAAAGTAGTTAAAATTATTTAATTGCAACAGTGGAAGAGAGCATAAGAATGCGTTTGAGGGAGGCAGCTATGTTTAAATGAGAGTTGATGAAAGTCAAGATACAAAGTATTTAAGTGTACGTTCTGCTTGTTAAATGGTAATTTGCTGAACTGCTATACAGCTCATGCAAAGAGGGTTTGAACTGCTATTTTTATTCTCAGTTCTTATCATTCTGGCGCTAGTCATGTTCCTTTGGCATTGGCTAAAAACCCTGTAGGCGAGGCAAACATTTCTTTACGCAGGAAAAACCACTTGTTATGGTAGTAACTGTGAACAAAAGCTGAAATGAATATAAATGGATAACAGACTCAATAATGATCTCATAATACTCGCTTTTAACTCCTAGGTTGACATTACAAAAAGCAAATCAAAGCAAGGCATGAAAATATTCTCTGCATGGAAACAAAAGTGATGAACAAATCCACAACTGAGGAATTATGCAATAACTAACCATTTTGTTATTGCCTTTAAGCTAGACGCCCACAAAAGAGCCCAATAAAGGGTAGCTGAGCCTAGTGAAGCGAATGCATGTTAGTCAGAGAATGAGTTTCTATACCCTTTTTCAATGTAGCTTTTTCTGTTGTATTTAATGGATACCATTACAGAATGACCACAGAATGACCCCACAAGGGAGCAGTTCAAATTGATGTGTTTGTGTGGAATTCCTAAAGCTTAGTGCCTGATGTTTCTGTACATATATAAACATTTATATGCATTCTGCTTACACTGAGAGTGAAACTCCCTGACTCTCAGTGTTTCATTAGCTAAGAAATCCAACCAAATCTGAGTTTAAGCGAGTGAATCACAGGAATATAAACCAAATCCACAGTGTCAAAAACTGTTCGACGGCTCCTCCGTTAATATTTCTTATCCTCCATCTACTGAATCAGCACTGCTACATTTCCCATCTGCTTCTCAGAGTGCGGAGCATGAAATCGCAGAAGTAGGGCTCTTTCCTCAACAGCCCAGCCTCATCAGAGCAGAGCAAGTTAAGCTTGGATGTTTAGCCTGCTCAGCTTTAACAGTGAACCTTTTACTGTTCGCACTTGCACTCTGCAGGCTGGCACTTTTAAAAGAGATTATGTACTTAATACTACTGAGGGGGCAAAGGCCAAACTGAAGCAATGACAAGGATTTTGCAACAATCATAAACAGAATCATTGTTTGTTTGTCTTGCTAAACTGTGCGAGCGTTCACATGTTTTATAAGAATGAATAAGCAGTCTCAATGGCACTTTTTCTCACACAGAAAAACAAACAGTAAGCTACTTTGTTATGCTGGAATGCAGAATAAAGGCATTTCAAAGGGCTTTCTTCAGAAACTTGACACAAGACCATTATGAGTCTCTTGATATATAACTGGGAATCTGTGGTAAACACTGAGAAAACAGAGTTTGTGTTTTGTATTACTCTAGTATTCTAATCAGCTCTGAGGCAAAACCTTTGATTAAAGAAGATGTGTCATGTATTTATTGCTTAATTAATACTCAGTTATAACTATTTATGATGCTCACATCAGTAACTGAAAGGGTAACCAAAAACTTATCTATGAGACAATAACATAATAATAAAATAAAAAACTTTTGTAGACCGCAAAGATTATTACCAAACTAATCACTTACGAAAGACGTCAAATGCCAAGTTCAACTGGCATTACAAATATGAGCAATGTAATCAACAAGTCACAGTTGGAGCTGAGTGCCAAGGAAAAGTGCGTCAGCGGAGGACTTTTGAGCAGAGATAAATGGTTGGCCAAAAGTCACACACACAGCTGTCTCAAAGTCACCTTTCTGTATTCAAAACAACTCTTTAAATCTGAAATGGTAAGAAACCCAGGGAGATGCAGTTACCACCAAGAATTATCCTAGCATCCTCCACCAGAGTCAAAGATAGCAGTGGAAAGTATGCCAAGGACAGCTGAATTCGCTGTAGTGGTCTGCTATGACTCAAAGGATATCTCAGGGGAACAGAAAACTCACGGTCTTCTATGAAGCAGCTGGTCAGCCATCATCCTTCTTTCTGCTTGGCCCAAATATCCTCATTCTTAGACATCACCAAAATTCCCCAAAGTATAAAAGCAAACAACGTCATTGTGAACACAGCATGACTTAAACATCCCTGTAGATGAGCCAAAGAAACACATATTTCACTAATATTCTTTTATCACATGTGTGTTTCTTAATTCTGATGTACCTTTAGTGCGAACAAAGATATATAAAGGTAATATGTGAGCATGAGTGTCCTGAATCACACCAACCTACCCACTAAAAAAGACACCTCCAAACCAAGTCACTCCAAAAAAGGTAACTTTATTTAAAAAAACAACCCAATAGTTAACCAGCTATGATTCATTCAGGATCTAGTGATAAACGACACCCATTAAAGCTATTTGTGTTTTATTATTATTATTTTTTTCCACTTATTTATAGAGCACACCTAATAACCAGGTCACTAATACACAAAAATTTGTGGGGGCAGCAAATAAAATAATGACAACCGTCAGCACCGCGGATGTGGGGCAAACGCGTTTAAACCAAAGGGAGCTGCAATACTACTGCGTAACAGTACAACGATTCAACCTACAACAGTAACAATGACTTTATACTATGCACGCAGGACGAGGAGGAAAGAAAACGTCCCCGCCCCTCCTTCTTGACATCAGCCCCACATAATTTGGCAAATGGGGTAAAACGAAAAATGCCGCAAACACAGCAGACCGAAAGTTTAATTACACACTAAAGTAAAGGCCACGACACGATACGTTATCTGCCAAACGTAACCGCAGATTATTGCTGCGCAAACACACGCCAGGCTTTCAGCGCTTGCAGTGTTTATAAACACGACCAGCTAACGGTAACGTTGGCCGAAGCTAGCCGGGCATAGCGTTAAAATGGACTGACGTTAGCCCTACCAGCTAACACTTTCCTGCATTTTGCAAGGCAACCGCGACAGTTACCGGATATTATTTAAACCCCATTTTTTGAACACCGAACCCTTCACCTGTTCCCCACAAAACACACAGTAAATATAACTCAAATTGTTCACCTTCCAACAGCCGAGAGATGAGGCTATCCACGTTCAATTCACCCTCCGCCATCTTCACACTGCTGTTGTACGTACAGTGTTGGCCGCTTCAGTTCCCCCAGCCGACACCAGGGGGGGTTGTTGCTCACAAACCGGTTGCCAAAGACCTTGACCAGGGAGCAGATCAGTGAATAATCCACTTTATTTTTTATTTTTTACCTCCTTTATATACACCCACCATCTACTATAACTATACAAAAATATTAATAAAATTACAATTGTTTAAATAGGAATTGGGATGAAATCT